ACTGCAAGTGACGTCGCTAGCGGAAGTGCAAGTGTCTGAGAGTGCAAGCCTGAGAATGCAAGTCTGAGAGTGCAAGCGCCAGGCTGCAGCCAGACCCTCTTGAGTTTTTTAAAACTTTACGGTATTTTTGTTATTTAAAAAAAAAAAAAACACATTATTGTTGAATGTTCTCTGAATGTTCTAAAACAAGTAGTAACATAAAAAAAAAAATGTTAAATGAAATTCCAACCAAATCCTTTCAGAAACATAACGTGCCATGAACAATGTATAAATAATGTTTATTTGCTAATGTTTTGAGAACATTAGTAAAGCCCAGGTAACTCCTTCTATTAACGTCACTGGAAGAACGTTTGAGAGAACCTTGCCAGAAAGCTCTGAGAACGTCCCTTGTTACCTGTGATCTCACAGAGTTTAACTCCAACCCTAATCAAACACTCCTGAACCAGCTAATCAAGGTCTACAGGATCACTAAACACTCCCTAAGTTTGCTGGAGCAGCTCAGAGCCGAACTCTGCAGGACATAAGAACGGCAAGAGTGCAGGCCTGAGGACCTTCTGCACAAAGTCTTCACCTTCACAGCGTGTAGGAACCAAATCATTGCTCAAAACCGGAAAGAGCACTGTCACAATTCATAAGAGAAAGCGTGACAGGCAGAAGCAGTTGTGGCATCTCGGACAAGCTACTGAGAGAGTCACGATGTTCTGCTCCAGCGCTTTAACCCCATACATCCTACAGAGCACCTTCAGAAACGATTCAGACCGGCTCATTGCTTTTATCGACCTGCCAGAACCTTTGACACCATTGATCACCATGTTCTCTGGCCTGAGATGGAAAGGGCTGCCAAATTTCTGCAACAGATCCAAGCTCATGTGGCTGAGAGTGAGATTGGGAGATTCTAGATGGGTGAAAAACAAGGATGTGTAACAGCTCCTGTCATCTTTTATCTCTTCCTGACATCTGTAACCAAGACAATCACCATTCCTCTTATTCCAATTATTGCAATTTCTTCAACATCCATTTGCACTGCATTTATATTGACGCATCTGATGTCCACTTTTATCAATTTTTTCCCCCTCTTCTCTAGTTTTCATCCTAACTTAGTTGTCTAATAAACCTGGCATTGTTTATTATGAATATTGTTGTCTCTGTGACCACTTTGTCTGCTTAAAGGTCCCATGAAGTGCCTTGAAACATGCAGCGTTATTCTATGTGGTGACGTAATTTCAACTGGAACAGGAAGACAAGGTGGGACATATCGAGCAGCCACGCCCCCTTTTTGTGTAGTTTTAAAAGTGTTTAATATATGCCGACTTGCGCATGATCACCTCCGTCGCGTGAAGCAACATGAAACCAGACCTCATTTGCCCCAATCAAAAGCATATTTACACTATCTGAATCGTTCCCTCTCGCCTACATTGTGCACTACATGCCATTCACTGTACAAGAAATACTACACTGTGAAAAAAGCGACAGATCTCAGCCGCAGCTTCAGAGTCTATTTATATTGTAGGGGGCGGGCGCTTCGGATTCTAGAGAGCATTTGATTGGTCAGAAGATTTAATGAGCCGTTGGGCCATTTTGGCGGAAGTGACAAACTGCAAGCTTTGAATGCTTATATCTTCTAAATGCGAATTTTGTCACTATTTTGGAGCACACTGCCTTATAGATAACCTTAAGATTAACATATTGATACCAACACCCAAAAAACTGTAATTTTGATTTCATGGGGACTTTAAAGCATGAATGTAAACGTGCATCCCTGGTAACTGACCTCGTAATTTCAACTGAAACAGGAAGACAGGGCGGGACATATCGAGCAGCCCCGCCCCCTTTTTAAATTAGCCAATAGCGTTTTGTTTATATCTGCACGGGTCAGAGCCGTTGAGCTCGGTACAGCCGCATTTGACAGCCACAGTCTAATAGACTACCCCCTAGATTCAATATGAACTCTTAGTAGAAACAAAATAGTGATCATAATCATGCTGAGGCTGTGTAGTTTTAAAAGTGTTTAATATATGCCGACTTGCGCATGATCACCTCCGTCGCGTGAAGCAACATGAAACCAGACCTCATTTGCCCCAATCAAAAGCATATTTACACTATCTGAATCGTTCCCTCTCGCCTACATTGTGCACTACATGCCATTCACTGTACAATAAATACTACACTGTGAAAAAAGCGACAGATCTCAGCCGCAGCTTCAAGTGACGAACTGCAAGCTTTGAATGCTTATATCTTCTAAATGCGAATTTTGTCACTATTTTGGAGCACACTGCCTTATAGATAACCTTAAGATTAACATATTGATACCAACACCCAAAAAACTGTAATTTTGATTTCATGGGGACTTTAATGCATGAATGTAAACGTGCATCCCTGGTAACTGACCTCATGACCTACCAGCTGTGCAACAGGAACATCCAACATCTACGAGCCACAGCTAAAGGTGCCGTAACATTCAGTGTTGCTCTGAGAAATTTTGTGAGCAAAATCAGTCATTTCTATAGGAATCCGTGCGATAGCGACTTTCGTGTGAGGATGGAAAAGTTCCCCACGCTGCGCTTTGAATGTGATTTCTGTGTGAGTTGTGCTTCATGCATCGCAGCATTTATAAACTTGCAAATCTTGCAATGATTAATAAACTTCTAAAGTCTATGACTGAATTAAATAAATGTGTGTGCTGCACGTTTACAACAACGACACTATTGCATGTTCTTTCAGAGCAATTCACAATTAATGAATAATGCACACTTCTGCCGACAGACTGCTTATGATCCACTCTCGATGAATAAAGACATTATTTACTTTATAATGTTAATATTGCAATATGTTGTGACTTGTTGTAAGAGTGCATATTTAATCTCCCTCATCTTTTTGAATAAACAGCAGTGGTAAAGCATGGACATTTCAAAATAAGAGTCCAGGCATGTCAGCCCTGTTTATAATTAAAAGTCCCACATTATGCATAAAGTTTGTTATTGTTGTTTCCTGGTTATTATTGATATTTTGGTAACACAATAAATTGTATCTGGCATTTAATTCAAAGTATCTAGACCTGCCCCGTCACAGGAAAAACTAATAACAGTTAATACATATATATATATATATATATATAAATTTTTTAAGGAAAGGCCTATGATTAATTACATGATTATTAAATACAGTTTAAAGCAGAAATATTCAAAAACCTAAAGTACTTTTGGTAACACTTTATTTTAAGGTGTACTTGTTACACATGTTACATGTACTTACTATTATGATAACAATTAATTATGCATAATAACATGCAAGTAACCCTAAACATAAACCTAAGCATATAGTAAGTACATGTAGTTAATTAATATTACTCAGTACTTATATGTATAATTACACTGTAAGAACACCTTAAAATAAAGTGTAACCATACTTTTTGTTTTATAATACATCAAATCATGTTGTTTTAAATGTCTCCTTTTATCCCTTTACTAAGAAAATAAATACATTTTCACTGCACCACTATTTATTTTTATTTTTTTTAATTGTGCACCTAACTTTTTCAACTATGGGAAAAAATTAAATGTCTGTCCCAGTGTGACTGCACCTTAAGTCACTCATATGCAGGATTCCTGGACTACAGTTTGTTGTTAATTGCACATTATTTATGCCCTGATGCAATGCAACAATCCCTCCACTTTCTGTGCACAGGTTCATTTCTCTCACCTGTTTTGTATTTGAGCAGCAGCTCCCAGATGCCTCTGCGTGCATACGGATCGACTCCCGCTGTCGGCTCGTCCAGAATCACAACATTGGATCCTCCCACGAACGCGATGGCGACCGACAGCTTCCTCTGCATCCCACCTGCACACAGACAGCAGACAGCTGACAAATTTCCACAGAAAGAGTGCGAACAGAGCGCATGAGCGCCAGTGTTGGGGGTAACGCATTACAAGTAACGCGAGTTACGTAATCAGATTACTTTTTTTCAAGTAACTAGTAAAGTAACGCATTACTTTTTAATTTACAAGATAATATTTGAGTTACTTTTTCAAATAAGTAACTCAAGTTACTTTGTTTTTCCAATTTATTGACTGACAGCTCTCCTGTCCCCATGTTGAGAGAAATCAGAAGATGTTACTCTAGTTCTAAAATAAATATGAATATGCATTAATTCATCTCACTCACAAAAAAAACAAAACAC